TTAAAATGATCAAGTAGGAGATGATTAAAAACATATTTTTCCCGACCAAGAACCTGTAGAGTTGCTGCCAGTCAGGAACAAATAGACAAATCACTATGAAGTGAATTAACTGCAAGGATAATAAATACTTAACGCATCTGATGAGGGAGATTCTAATTCATTACAGTTTCATCACAATTTCTGTCATACATTTTTAAGATTCCACCTCCCCCCCCCCTCCATTTCAAACAAAGCCTTTGGAGACTTAAATGTTTGGGGAAAATATGTAATACACTGATTTGAAAACATTTATATTGGATGACACAGCATGAGTAGCCCAGCATTCAATTTACACAGTGGCCATCTTGTTTTTTATTTGAATTCTATAAATAACAGTGTCAGGCTCTCCTTCATCTTTTAAACATTTGATGGGTAAGCTAAACTGCCAGTCACAGTTTAAATGTAGTTTTCCCGTATGGTCAGAGGAGTTGTCTTAGATGATCTAGAGGATCTCTTCCAACTCTTACACTTTTATGAAACAACTGGAACCACATGAAAAATGTGAGCCTTTGTAGACTTTAAGCATCATAGAGCATATACTTCAAAAAACTGATCAACATTTTGAGGACCAAAACACATTCATTCCATTCATACCCTGATTCACTTTTACTCCCTCTACCTCATGTTTATTTCAGTTCAGCATATTTTACAACAAGAAGAAAATCTTTGTCGTTCCTTTTGTTGAAAATAATTAGGACTCTGAGACTCTTCCCAACCTACCGCATATCATCCAGAGAGCCACCAATAGGTCCCGCTTTTCCTTCTGTCCCCCCCAATGAAGGGGAACCCAATGAGTTTTTGGCTGCTGCAGGATTTAAACCCATGTCTTCTAAACTCAGTTCCACCACTGCATCCTCCATGCCAGTTGTTCCTATCTGGTGGTTGCATACCGTTAGAAGGGCACAGATGCAATCTAGGTGGGATTCTATTTTCATTAAGAATTTGTTGTCCCTCAACCTTCATTTCCTCCCACAAATGTGTGATCTCTCCCACTTGCCACAGATTATCCTTCTGTGAGTACTGGGCATAATAGTAGTAACTTCGAGACATTTAGTGCCCCTCCTAACTCCATGCATCTTGCCTTCTTTGAAGGATCACTGATGTGTCACTTCCTGCTATTATTGGAATTATTTTTATGTGCATGTTTACTACCAACAGTGCAACTACAATTTTTATTTGTTCTTAAAAATGTAACAATATAATGCCTATAAAAATAGGAATACAGCCCTTCTTTTCTATCCTGGTGGGACTCCGTTTCTTTGACAGAGTGATACAAACAGTGAAAAACCACTGCTCTCTGAACAATGCACACATATTCTAGGTAAAGGTAAAGGTTGCCCTTGACATTTAGTCCAGTCGTGTCCAACTCAAGGGGGCGGTGCTCATCTCATATAACATATGCTATATGAGGATATTACAAAAACTGCAGTGCATGTTGATTAAGAGGGACTTGACAGTGGATAGTCAAAAGACGTTAAGGGCTGGTTTGACTCTGCAATGCTTGTGGGTCCTTCCTGGCTTTCAGTAGGGACATGGTGAAAGGGAGGGAACATTTTAAAAAACTGGTGACATTCCTGTCATTAGCAAAATGCCTCTCCTCCAGCAGACTGACATTGCTCACTGCTCCAATGCCCAGCATATCCCAACTAATCTGTTAAATGGCTTGCCTTTGGGACCCCAGATTTGTGGCCATTACAGATATATGGACATATTCCCATTTTAAGAGGAGGAGGAGGAGGAGGAGGGAGAGCTCAGATCCTTAAGTAAGTGCTGGCATGACCTCACTTGGTATGAGATCATGAAAATGTGAAAGCTCTCCATGGGCTTCAGTTTTTCTCTCTACATGCAAGGACATTTGCCAAGTGATCTAATTGAGGGTGGGGGGCCCTGGAGAGAGCAGGAGGTGTGTGCTCCTCTCCTTGAGGACCCTAATTATGGCTATTATCTGATTGCACTTTGCTAGCAAGGAAGCAGTGCTGAAGAACGTACACAGTCAACAGCATAAACTGTGTGTATTTAATGCACTTTTCTATTTGCATACTCTCTGCTTTTAACACTACACCAAATTCTTATGAAGCAAAGTAACATCTTTTAGGTTTAAAGGGGAAGCAGAGCTTGAAATAATTATTTCATTGAGCTACAACTGTTAGAACCCTGCAGTCAGCAGGTCATGAGTTGTCGTTCCAGAGGGTAAGGTAAAGGTAAAGGTTCCCCTTGACATTTAGTCCAGTTGTGTCTGTCTCTAGGGTGCGGTGCTCATCCCCGTTTCCAGGCTGTAGAGCCAGTGTTTGTCCGGAGACGGTTTCCATGGTTACATGGCCAGTGCAACTAGACACAGAACGCCGTTACCTTCCCACTGTGGTGGTACCTATTTATCTACAGTGATGCCTTGCTAGACAATAATAATCCGTTCCACTGAAATCACTGTTTAGCGAAATCATTGTCTAGCGAAAAGCATTTCCCCATTGGAATGCATTGAAACCTGTTTAGGGAGAAGAATCGTCCTCTAGCGAAGATTGGCCATAGGAAAGCCACTTTGCGAACCACCAATTAGCTGTTTAAATCACTGTCTTGCGAAGCTTAGGTTCCAAAAACACCTGTTTTGTGAGCACAGAGGAAGCTGTCAAAATTGTCTAGTGAAAATCGGTTTGCTAGTAAGGGGCCAAACATTGTCCAGCGAAATTCCCCCATAGGAATCACTGTTTTGTGAATCGCTATAGTGATCACAAAAAGTCAATGTCCAGTGAAAAAATTGTCATGCGGGGTAACTGTCTAGCAAGGCACCACTGTACTTGCATTTTTACATGCTTTCAAATTGCTAGGTTGGCAGGAGCTGGGACAAGTGGCAGGAGCCCACTCCATCATCTGGATTCAGTCTTATGACTGCAGGTCTTCCAACCTTGCAGCACAGAGGCTTCTGCAGTTTAACCCGCAGTGCCACCACATCCCAAGGGTAACTTACCCAAATTGATCATGGTACATAAGCTTCAGGGCTTGGGGATTCCAGATATTGTAGGGTTTTTAAAAGCTTTCCAAGTGCTGTGGGTCAGTTCCCTCCTTTATGTTGGCTCACATGACACACATGCCTTGCACCCATGTAGTAGTACCCGTGGGAATGTGCATCCTACAGATTGCCCCGGAGACCAATCAGGTATATATGGATCAGTTTCCTACCCATCTCTGCCTTAAAGGTCAGTAAGAAAAGCACTTGGAAATAAGCCTGAGAATCTGTAAGTGGGGCAGGAGGACAGATGCTAGGACAGTGATGGTGAACCTATGGCATATACACCACAGCTGGTACACAGAGCCCTCTCTATGGACACGCGAGCCATAAGTCATTGGATTGCTACCCCCAGCAGCCCAATCTGAGGAGGAGGCTGCAGCTGCGGTGCTAGCACCCCAAAAGGCAGCGGGCCAGGATCCAAAGCAGCTGGCGCTGCTGGTGGTGGGCCAGCTGAGCTATAGGCAGTGGTGGGATTGGGCACGACTGGAGGCGGATCCAGTGGGGACTGGAGGCACCTCCATGCCCTGGATTCCCCCTTCTGCCCACGGCCCACTGGGGTGCCCCCCCCCGTTTCGGCACTCGGGCTCAAAAAGATTCGCCATCACAGCACTAGGACAAAACACAATATATCTTAGAAGTGGAAGATAGCAATGGCTGTATTTGACAGGCTGTCTTTCTTCCACCCATAAGTATACTCAGCCAGGAGGTAAACATTGAGCAAAATTGTTCTTGGTAGCATGCTCAGTTAAGCTGAGTTGTTTTAGGAATAAAAGCATATGTACAGAACCTGATTTTATTCTATAAAGAACCGGTGTCTTCTACTATATTCCTTAGGTCTTTTGAAAGACTAGAACTATTTTAAATGAAAAAGATATCTGTTGGAAAAAGAAACAGTACACAAAATGCTGAACTACTTCATTCTCCTTGTCATTATCTTAATAACCATTATTACTATCCTAATCATGCTTACCAAACTCCGGGAGGCAGTGGAAGACAAGAGGGCCTGGCATGCTCTGGTCCATGGGGTCATGAAGAGTCGGACACGACTTAACAACAGTCATCATTATGATATTTCCTTTCATCTAGTTACGTATCTCAACAGAGACATGAATCTCTTCTTGCTTACTTTGTCCTCACAGCAATCTGTTTGCTGGTCATGCCTGGAGTTATTGGCCCGAGCTCACCTAATGAGTGCAGTGGTCCCCAACCTTGGGCCTCCATACAACTCCCAGAAGCCTTCACCACCACCTCTGCTAGCCAGGATTTCTGGGAGCTGAAGTCCAAGAACATCTGGAGGCCCAAGGTTGGGGACCACTGAGTTAAAGGATGACTGAATATAGATTTTCCTTCTTAATGTGTTTAATTGTTAACCATCCCTTCCAGATACCTTGGAAGAGGCAGAAGAAAATTCCAAAGATTTTAAGTTTATAACACCAAGTAAGCAAGGATTATATTCGAGTGGGCAATCTTACAAATATTAATTCCAGTTGACTAACACAGATACAGACACAGATTGACCATCTAACTAAGAAGTGGGAGGGGATCTTGAATTTGCTGTGCGTATTTACTCTAGACTCTGCCCATAATCTTCAGGTGGCTGACTCTAGTAAATGTTCTTAGAGTTGCAGTGTAAGTCCCTCAAACATACCTCCTCCTCAAAGCTGTAGTAGCTAGGTGTATAATTATTATATTTTGTTTTTTAATCATTTTAATTATTCTACCTTTTATTCTGTGAGCTCAAGATGACATGTATGATTCTCCTTGTCCCCTCATTATTTTTACAACCACAACCTTGTAAAGTAGCTCAGGCTGAGAGAGTGAGTTAGTGGCTCAAGACCATTTAGCGATTTCATTTTTGAATAAGAAGTAACGCAATGAACCTCTCAGTCTCATTGCTGCCCTTCAGCATCTACATCACCTTGTCTCAGTTTTAGATTCTCCTTTTTATCTTTTATAGGGCAAGTTCTACCTGGTAATTGAAGAACTGAGTCAGCTCTTCCGGTCTCTGGTCCCTATCCAGCTGTGGTACAAATATATCATGGGAGACGATCCATCCAGCAGCTATTTCCTTGGAGGAGTTCTCCTGATCCTGTACAGCCTCTGCAAAGTAAATTGAATTCCTGAGGGTTTTTTTTTTTTTACAGCATGTCCCCCACAGCTTTAAACATTTCATACTTGCCAAGACCTATGTCCCTAGCATCTCGCAATTAGAAGATGAGGTAGTGGGCAACCAATAAGACTTTTTCTTTTTGTCTGAGTGCCTAGACAGTCTGTATTAGCCGCTGTAGATACTCTTAGGCAAGGTCAGAAGCAATCGACTGTGGACCTCTTGGTTTGGTCAGCGTGGAAGTCCAAGTAGCCGTTATCAGCAGGGATGCTGCTGTGACATGCAGTCCAACAATATCTGAAGGGCCATATGTCCAGCTCTGAGCTTTGTGGAGAAAATACTCTGATGTGGTGTAAAGTGGTCTTCTTTATACCATCATGTGCAAATCTATCCCCTCTTCTTCTGTACTAATGTTCTTTTAAAAAAATTATTTTATTTAAATTTTAATATATTACATATAACACAAAAATGAAACAAAATATAACAAACAACATTTACTCAAAATTAAAAATATATAAAACATAGTGTACCCTGTCACTGGCACCAATATGGACATTATCAATATAATCATTATTTGTCAGCCCCCTATTCCCTCGGCTTCTATATTTAGATCCAGTATTACATTTATACTGGAAGGACAGATCCTGAAGCGGAGGCTCCAATACTTTGGCCATCTCATGAGAAGAGAAGACTCCCTGGAGAAGACCCTGATGTTGGGAAAGTGTGAGGGCAAGAGAAGGGGATGACAGAGGACGAGATGGTTGGATAATGTCATTGAAGCTACCCACATGAATTTGACCAAACTCTGGGAGGCAGTGGTGTGCTCTGGTCCAGGGGGTCACGAAGAGTCGGACACAACTAAACAACTAAACAACAACAACAAAAAGGATTCCACAGTAAAATATTGTTTCAAAATGGATTGCATTCAAGTTAGTATTTCTTCATTGACCTCCAAATCTTTACTTTTGATCTAAATCAGTAGGGTAATATATTTTGATTTCCTTGATTTACTGCTTATATTGCTTTGGTCCATGGTGTCATGAAGAGTCAGACATTACTTAATGACTAAACAACAACAATTACATTTATCTAATTAAAACCAAGCTTCCAAAATTTTAACACCACTGCACATTCCCACCACATATGCATTTGCCTACCCATAATTTGATTACATTGCCAGCAAAGTTTACAGTATTTATTATACATGCAGTATAATGTTTATTTAAAATATTCTGCGAATCCTTCAAGTTGTGATCTAAAAAAAATATTGGTAACATAATCAATAAAAAGTTAACTTGAGTAATATTTTTATTCTACACAATGCAATTCTTCCAAACCATGATAATTTTAGTTTTCCATATTTTTTCTATTTTATTAATAATTTCGTGTTTAACCCATCATAATTTTCTTTTTTATATAGCTTCTAATTTTTATTATATTTACACCTAAGTACTTAATAGCTTTAGTTATTTAAGATCATTTTAGCATCTCTTCTGTTATCACAATTAAACAATATAATCTCAGATTTATTCCAGTTTACACTCAATCCTGTTACTTCCTCAAATCCTGCTCCATAGCCTTTGATGGGTTTTCTATAATTAATATCTGTCCATTTTAATTTCAGTTCGTGCACCCCAACTTTTTTATCTGTTTATTGTAGAATATCTGCTTTGTCCTTGCTTATCATAGATGTAATTATTTTCTTTTTGACAATATTCCCCAGACCTTTTCCACTTAACTTTAACATTCTTTAATTTTTTAAAAACATTTTGGATGAATCAAGTATCTTATTATTGGTTCCCAATTATGCTATGCATAAACAACATGAACTTACCAATAAAATCTACTCTAACCCTTTCACCCCACCCTCCCTGTTTAACTCCCTTCCTCCACCCAAGTTCCATTACCCTGATCTCTGCTTGTCTCCAAACTTGGGGGTGGAGGAGAATACTCCTCTTCCCTCACCAAACTAGCTTAAAGCATCCCATGCCTCTATTAATATTTTCCTGCCTTTGCTACCTAGTATTTCATTAGCTTCTTTTAGTGCTGCAACTGCAGTTTCTCAGCTAACAATTCACTTGAACATATGGAGTTCCTACGGAAGAGTTAGAAATAAAGATTATGAAAGAGACTCAAACTTCTAGAAACTTATTTACCAGTTCAGTTTTATTTCTACATCATATCCTTAATAACAAAGACCTCCCCTAGCCTGGACTTATTCTGTAAATGGATAGAGTCAATAGACAACGTATGAAGAGCATTGAAATGAGAACTTAAATCTGGAAGGCAGAAAATAGTAAAAAGAGTAATTTGAAATTTTGATATGGCAATATGTATAGAATGGATGTTAGTATGATATTGTTTCTCCTCTTCCCTCTGAACCTCAATTCCCTTTTTCCTTTTTGTCACCCCTTGTTAAAAAAAATTTTAAAAAGACCTCCCCTAGCCTCACTATTATTTTAAAATATTGTGTACAATCCGTTTTACACTCTTACCTATAAATTTATCAATTTTATCAACCTGTGAAACCTATAAAGAAGGCTAGAGTAATAATAATATTTTTGTGGGATTTCCAGGTTGTTTGGCTGTGTTCTTAAGGTTTTTCTTCCTAATGTTTGACCAGTCTCTGTGGCTGGCATCTTCAGAGGACCGAAGTCAGAACTCTGTCTGTACTTCTGATTCCTGCCCTCCAAATATGCCAGCCATAGAGACTGGTGAAACAACCTCTGATTCCTGTCCTCCAAAGATGCCAGCCATAGAGACTGGTGAAACAACCGGGAAAACCCACAACACTCATCGGATCCCGGCCATGAAAACCTTTGAGAATACAATAATAATACAAATTAAACTAAATTGATAGGTATACAATTTAGGTATTACATTTATTAGATTTAGGTATCTTAATGTATATATCTTAAAGCTTTAACTCATACAAATAATATGATTTCTAAAAATAATGAAAGAAAATCATATTTGTAGAAACTTATTTTGCCAGTTGACATTTACTTCTATATCATATTCTCACATCAAAGATATCCTCTTGCCCCACTACTATACAGTGGGGTCTCGACTTACGAACGGCTCGACATACGAACGTTTCGACTTACGAACCGCTCTCATAGGAGTATATGGACTCGACTTACGAACTTAGATTCGAGTTACGAACTCTTTTTTCCCCTTTTTTTTAAAGCTAAGTCATCTTAGGTTAAAAGGAAAAAAGAAAAAATATCCCCCTCTAGTGGCAGAAGGCGGAATAGCAGCTTCCCATTAGTTTCTATGGACGAAAAGAGCAGATACGGATTAAATGGTTTTCAATGCATTCCTATGGGAAATGCAGATTCGACTTAAGAACTTTTCGACCTGAGAACTGCCTTCCAATACAAATTAAGTTCTTAAGTCGAGACCCCACTGTATATAAAACTAACAGGAAAAAAATAAAAAGTGCAAGTTTGACAAAAAAACCAATCAAACTTATAAAAACTTCTAAAAACTTCTATTTCTACATAACATTCTTATAACAAAGACCTCCCCTAGCCCCACTACTATTTTAAAATATTGTGTGCAATTCCTACCAATATCCCTTAACCCTAATACTTCTATACATTTGTTTAGTGTTACTAAAATATTTCTGTCATGTTCTGCTAAAAACACTTAGTCCATTCTTTCTTCTCATGCTTTCTTCTTCATGTCTTTTTCATTTCTTCTTCTTAGCTCCTTGCTCAGCTGCAGCTGTTTCTGCTGAGGTACCACTCTTATCCCCATCACTCCTTCTGATTCCATTTCCCTTTGACTTGAAGCAGAGTCTATCTCTTCTGTTATCTTTATTTCCTGCTTCCACTGCTCCTCATTTACATACGATGTTCATCTCACGTAACCACTATAGTGATTCTAGTTGGTGATATTTTCCTCTGTAAAGCACTCTCAAGAAAACCCAGTATCTGCAGTTATATTTATTCTGATTTTTTGCCAGTATGGATGTTAATGTTTTTAGAGAAAATCACCATTTGATTGTTTCAAGACATAAATCTGGCAATATTTGAATCTGATTTCCTTCATACTCCTGCTGATCAACTTTTCGTCTCATCCCTTGTTGAAAGCTCTCTGTAATAAATGTGAACTCTAATAACAATGCCTCTTGAGAATGCTCTAGCTCCTCTTTTAGAGCCTATTTGATTAATTCTGTGTCTTCCTTTGACCAGTCCAGGTCAGGAGCCTTTTTTAAAATCCATTTTAGAATACTATATCTTTAGCTAACCTTTTTCCTTGTTCCCATTGATTTTGTAATGCCCCTGATCCGTAAATTGGGTCTCCTCTGTTTATCACGTATTTCAATTACGGTAGTTGTTTCTGAATTTCCATCACTTTTGCTTCATGCCAATATAGCTTTGCAGTATTGTCTTTTGTCAGTTGTTCTGTTACCCGCACTTTTAAATTCATCTCCTTTAACTGTCTCTCAATTCTTATTCCTGTCCTCCTTAAACTCTTGTAAAGTCTCTTCAATCCTTCTAAGCTCCCCCATCACCTCCTTGTTTGCCATACTTCAAGTTGTGGTCAAAGTTTCTTGTCCAGTTTCTTGCCCAGATTCTAAATGTGTTAGGCTACTCAGTGAGCAATCACTACGTCTCATTCTCTTCTAGGATCTCCCCTGTCATTTAACTTTACATTTCGGCATTCAGTAATCTCAAAACCTTATTCTTATAGCATCTATGGGCAACAGCATGTGTAATTGAACTATTTTTAGTGTTAGCTGCAATATTGCACCAAGCCGCTGAAGGGAGTTTATTTATTTTGTACAGTTCCAAATTTTTGTTAGATCACCTTTCTATTTTAAAGTATTTTTTGTTTCTCCTCCAACGTTTAAAGTTTCCCTTCTGGGCCTTTCTTATCTCACATTAAACTCCATACTAATAAAATCAGCTTACTTTATTTCATACAGATTTTAACTTCAGAGTGTTCAGGAAGGTTTAATCACATCCAAAAAAAACTCAGTCTGGTTCTAAGGTTTTCATTCTAATCTAGTCTCCTTGATGGTAAGAACAACTTGATTTATTTTCACTGAAGCCTGTTAATTGATTAGCTTCTTTTTATCATATTATTATTTTCAAATAGCCCAAACAGAACAAAGGAGCTTTAAGCAAAGCAGCAGGGGAGGAATTTTCAGTTCAGTCCAGTGTTTCTCCTGCCATGTCCTTATTTTGTCTGATGGCAGCACAGAACTGCAATTCCAATCAAAGAATTTTATGGCTGTAAGCTATCATAAATCTGATTTTCCTGCTCCAGCTGCTACACAACATCAATTTCAAACTTATCAAACAAACAAATGTCTCGCCAATCATTTGGAAAATTCCAGGAACAAGGGATTATTTTCCAAAATCTTTCAGAGGCACTTGGACTGATAAATCCTTACCCTCTTATGGGGGAAGACTTGAAGCTGTCCTGCTAACATTCAGCTTTTATTACCAGTAGTGTTTCTACCCACCCACCCCATATGATAGGCCTAATTATTTTTTAAAAAATTCTCTTGAATACAAGAATATCACGACATACTGCATTAGATACAGCATGACAGGTGAGTCTGTGAATTCAGTTTCAAATAGGTTCTTGGAGGCTGAATAAGGTGAAGGCTGAATAAGGTGAAGGCTGAATAAGATAAGGTGTGACCAAAGTAAATCAAAAGATTAGGACCCAAAGAACCCTCATATTTTAGCTTAAAAGCTTTTACTACTAGTAATTGAGCCAGTGGGCGAAAACATATTCAAAAACTGGGAAGACACTAAATGATGGTGTCTTGGGGAGCTCCAGTCAGTCCCAAAAGAAAGCTATTGTCTGGAGAATTCTTGAGGACCGGACTGATACTAGGAGGGCTGGATTTAGCACAAGTACCTGATTTTTTTTCCTGAGCAACAGAATGAGAATGAGCATGCTGCATTTATACTAAATATCTACACCTTGCCCTTCTAGTCTTTTGACATCTGTGGCCGTGTGGGAAGCTTGCGGAAAGCATTAAAGGTCCTTTGTACTTCCCAGGTAGGTCAGCAGCTGCTTTGCATTTAAGATATTAAGATAACTGCATGCTTACCAGTTTTCAGGGAAGGTCTTTTTCAGGGTGGGGGACTTGTGACTTTTGTGACTCACTGTCAAGTCAAACTTAAGTTGCGCTGGTAACTTGACTTGGGGTTTCTGGGACAACTTGTGACTCAATTTATGACTCAGAGCCATTTGTCCAAGTGGCATTGTCACCTTCTGCTGCCTCTGCCATCTTCAAATGTAGCACATCAGCGGATCAGAGGGCCTTTCATGGTGATGCTCTAGCCTGCCATAGTGAGGACAGGTGTTCCAATCTGCCTTTTCCTGTAAGTTGACCTGGTGACGCTCTAGCCTGCCATAGAGCGTCACCAGGGTGACTTGCAGGAAGAGGCAAATTGGAGGACCTGCCCTCAGAGAACAGCAGGCTAGAGCATCACTATGAAAGGCTCTCTGCCTTCCTCCTGCTTCAGAGGGCCTGCCTGTACTGGCTTATCAGCTGGTCAGCATATGTGTCTGGGGAGGCAGTGCCCAGGCTCCCAAATGAAGGTGGCGGCAGCAAGTAGGTCAATGGCAGTGTGAGTGGGCAGCAGAAGTCCAAGTTTTTGGTGCCAAGTCTTGAGTCCCAAGCCTCAGGTGCTGCAAGCAACTCATGATTCAGACTTGGAGCTTGGGACTTGATACCAAAGACTTGGACATGGACTTCAGACTTGGGTCCTGAGACTTACCAACATCCCTGATATTATTATTGGAGAGCTGGACAATTGCAATGAGGATCACTGTGGGTTGCTGTAGGTCCAAAGGGATTGACTCACATAACAGACTGGGTGATATTTTATTTAAAAGTCCTACTCAGTGGGTGTCCCTGGAAGATCTCATACAAGCTAGTCTAATGGTTCCTAATCTTGGGTCCGCATATGTTCTTGGGATCAAACTCACATAAGCCTTAACACTAGCTGGGCTAGCCTGGATTTCTGGAATTTGTAGTCCAAGAACATCTGGGGGGGGGCAAAGGTTGGGAAGCACTGACTAGTCAAATCTAGCCCCCTTCAGATGTGATGGGCTGTTAATTCCCAGCATTCCCAATTTTGCAGATGTGCCAGGTTGTGCTAAGGAGAAAGGGTTGGCAGTGACTGACAGTAATCCCTTCCTAGTGCCATGCATCATGGCAAACCCCCAGCAATATGGCAGCTCTCAGATTCACAGGCATTTCTCTGCACTGAAGCCTGAATTTGGCCTCTCATGATGCTAGTTTAATATTTTAAAACCTTTAAACCTAAAAACATTATTCCCCCCTTCTAACATGCTCCATTCAGTAATTTTATTAGAATTTTTGAAATATTGCATTTATAAGCAATTTCTAAATTAAAGGGCAGAACTTTTATTTTCAGTTGTCAGTTGCACATAAAGGCTAAGCTAAAAGCTCATAGGCTGATGCAATAATCTCTACATGCTAAGAGCAGTAGGTATAAATGTTTTCTGAATAATAATTATAATACTGAATTTTTTTTTCAAATACACATTCATCTTCAGAAAGCCCTGGGGGCTCATGTTCCAGTAGCTGAAAATTGTCACACTAGTGATCAGTTATGTTACTTATTGCAGTACAATTTCAAGTTAGATTAGTTTGTTGGCCTTATTGTGGGGATTCTTAGACTTCAGGCAGAATATCTAAAGTTCTTTCTCAAAGCCTGTCATTCTCCTGAAGAATGATAGGCTCAAGAAACTCAAAATATTTGCTTTTTGGTTCTAGTGCAGGTATGAGAAGCCTTATACCCTTCAGATATGTTGCCTTGCACCTCCCATCAACCTCTCCTTGCATGACCAATGTTGATGGATAGTAGGGAAAAAGCAAAGTACGCTTAAAGCTCTGGGTGGTTTACAAGCTAATTATGCAGGCTACACATTGCCCCCCCCCAAGCAAGCTGGGTACTCATTTTACCAACATTGGAAAGATGAGTGAACTTTGAACTGGCTAGCAGAGTTCGGCTGCAGTAGAGCAGTTTAGTCCCTGCGCCAAGAGGCTGAAGCTTTCTCATCTCCATTCTGTGGAAGATAAGAAAGGCCCTGATATAGTCCTTCATCTAGATGCCACATTTCTGTTGATACCCCCAGTACAAAATTTGGGTTGTTGTTGCTTTTAAGACCCTAGATCTTTTTCACAGGTACCACTTACAAGCCAGCTTTCACCCATCCTGAGAAATAGGTTTATCTCAGTGGTCAACAAGATGCTTGTGGGAAATTCACAAGCAAGGCATGAGCTCAATCAGTGTCTCCCTATCATTGCTCTCCAGCTACACATAGCTAGTGTATGTCACAGTTACGATTACTAGCCATTAATTTTTCTAATCTTTTAAAACTATATTCAGTTGCTGATAGCTATCAGTGTCTCTTGAGCGAGTGAGTTCTGTTGCTTTAGCAGTGTGCTTTCTCTTTGACAGAGCTATGGGATCCGTGCAACTAACCAACAGTGCAGTGAGGCAGGCGACATCTGTGCCATCTGTCAGGTGGAGTTCAGAGAACCTCTTATCCTCTTATGCCAGGTGATATTTCCTATATTTTTTCAAAACAAAGTAGCACGGAATAGCTTGGACAAATGGAAACCTGCTTACTAAACCTCCTGAATGTACCTGTGGGCATTAGGGATGGGGAATACAGGGCTCACTGTTGGAAAACGAGCTAGTCTAGGAGTTGGTATTGTATGGCGCATAGACATCAAGCTGCCCATGATGCCTCCACAGTTCTCCAAGCAGTGCCATTTCCAGATCTTTTGACAAAAATGAAGAATTGTACCTTCAGAGGCCTCTGGGCCACAGTTCCCAGTTGCTGGTGTCGTGTTCCCCAACCACATAATCAGAGAATCATAGATCTGTAGAGCTGGAAGAGACTGCAAGGGTAATTGAGTCCAGTCTCCTACTAGTGTAGGATATCCATGGTGAAAGCATCCCTGATAGGTGACTATCCAACCTCTGGTTAAAACTTTTATGTGAAGGAGAATTTACCTGTTCCCCCACCCCTTGAGACAGTTCCTTGTACTGTTGAATGGCTCTTGCTGTTGGGGAGAATTATGCTTTCCTTTTTTTAGCTTGACTCTATTAATTTGGGTCCTATCCTCCTGAGCTACAAGAAGCAAGTCTACTCTATCTTCCACGCGACAGCCCTTCAAATTTGAAGATGTTTGTCATATCATCTCTTGGCCTTTTCTTCTCCACGCTAAACATGCAAGTTACCTCAACCTTTCCTCATAGGTGAGGGCAGGAGTTACGGCATTGGATATATTTAAAATATTTGATTGTGTGGAATGGCCACCATTAAAAGTGGTGATAGCTATACTACGATTTGGGAAATCATTTTTAAAATATGATAAATCAACTTTATTCAGAGAATACTGCTATAGCACTAGTAAATGATGGACTAACAGATCAAATATTCCTAGGTAGAGGTACTAGACAGGTTGTCCTCTTTCCCCAATATTATTTGCTTTAGTTATAGAGATACTAGTGAATGCTACTAGGCAGGAGAGAGCAATAAAAGGTATAGGTATCAAAGATAAAATTAGCTTATTTGCGAATGATACAATAGAAGATCCACTGAGAGTTATGGATCAGGTTGAACAACATCTGAAAGAGTTTGAGTAGGTGACAGGTCTACAGATAAATTGGCAAAAGTCAGAGATGATATTATTTATTTATGCTAAAGATAAGGAAGAAAGAAAAGGGAATTTGAGATTAAAATATGTAAGAGTATAAATCACTTGGTTATAAATATTATGAACAAATTATTATATTTAGGAAATGAAAATTTTGCTGAAGTAAGACATTAAAGATAAATTAAAGGAGTTAAGAAGAATAGAATTATTATGGTTTGGAAGGATAGCAATATGCAGAATGAAAATATTGGCGGCCAACATTATTTTTTTATTCGGGATGATACCAATAAAGCTGTTAGAGAAAGATTGGCAAAATGTAGTTAACAACTTTTGTAATGGTGATTAAAAAGCAAAGTTTAATAAGAAGTACTGGTATAAACATCAAAAACTAGGAGGATTAGGTAAAGGTAAAGGTTGCCCTTGACATTTAGTCCAGTCGTGTCCAACTCTAGGGCGCAGTGCTTGTAAGCCATCTCCCTATCTACAAGGAGATTAAGGGGAAGACGGAGAAGGAGAGATTTCAGAAAATTAGTCAGTCCTTATGAGCTAAGACGAGCCCTAGATCTCAGCCAGGCCCTGCACTAATTTTCCTTCCTCAAGTCCATCCCCTTTGTTAAGTAGAAACAAGAAACACAGACAATTCATGAGTTTACACTCAGGCAAATCTGGGCTCTATATGGTAGCAAATACACATGGCCAATTAGATAGGTTAGTCTGTTCAAGAAACCAATGCATGCAATACCAAAACATTACTGCTTTATTAAGACATATGGTTCAGAAAAGAATTCAGATTATAGTAAAGCATTTCAGTTAGAAACATTTTCATATCAAGGCTGACAAATCACCCCCACCACTCCAGCTATGGACTTCACAGTCCATAGTCCAACAGGTAAGGTAAAATCCAGTTGTAATCCATTAGTCCATGTAGGCAAAAAGGCTCCATTCAAAAGTTATAATCCATTTTGGGAAAAAGCACATGCCTGTCCTTTCTCAGTCAAACTCCATCTTTTTTCAACTTCTACCAACTTCCTTCTTCTTCCCAGGATGCCTCATAAGGAACACCCCCTCCTGGGTCTTGTTGTCCCGCCTAACTTTCTCATGGGAGCTTGAGTTGTTATCATGTTTTGTGGCAGAATTATTATGACTACCAGGAATGTAACTCTCTGGCTCTCCTTAAGCAACTAGATAACCAGAGAACGAAGCTTCTCTGAAACAGCATGTAAAATTTTCCTACCACAGACACAGACATTAAATCAAGATAGATGCTATTGGGACAATTTTAGGACTACATTTCCCATTCTCATAACACATAAAAACACAAATCATCACAGTGCTCATCTCCTTTTCCAAGCCATAGAGTGAGCATTTTGTCCAAAGGCAGTTTTCATGGTCACATGGCCAGCACGACTAGACACGGACTGCCGTTACCTTCCCACCGAGGTGGTCCCTATTTATCTACTCGCATTTACATGCTTTCGAACTGCTAGGTTGGCGAGGAGCTGGGAGAAGTGACAGGAGCTCACTCTATCACGTGGATTTGATCTTACGACTGCTTGGTCTTCTGACCTTGCAGCACAGAGGCTTCTGCCACCAGGATTAGGTTTACTTAATATAAAATTATATTATATAGCTAATTAAATGAGAAACATGGTGGATATTTTAACACAATCCAATAAATTAATGTAATCAAGGTTGGAATTTCAAGAGATTGGTAACAACGCTACAATGGACTCAAGTTATTAGAAGCCAGATTTCAATTGAATATCAGGAAAAACTTTGTAACTACAGTATTAGAGCAGTAAGACAGTGGAACCAATTACCTTGAGAGGTGGTGACTGCTCCAATACTGAGGCATTTTTAAAAAAACTTAGACAACCGCCTGGCATATATCCTTTGATTCTTTATATTGGCCTCTGTGAATGCACACAAATGGGTTTTACTCTGCGCCTGCGCGGGATGTTCGGAAGATTCTAGAGCTTAGAAAAAGGAAACAATTCACTTCCCCCTCCCCGGGTGCAAGCTCCACCTCCTCAACCTTCCTTTCAGTTCCTTTATTTCCATCACTGGGTTAGGACATGAGGAACAGTAGAGCATTAAAGAAAGTAAATTCAGCTTTGATAGAGAATCTACCTTGTTTTATTTTTTTCCTAATCATTTATTTTGTTTATTATTATTATTATTATTATTATTATTATTAGTAGTAGTAGTAGTAGTAGTAGTAGTAGTAGTAGTAGTAGTAGTAGTAGTATTTCATAGCAATAGATCTCCGTTTCATCTTTTTTTGCTACTCTCCCGCCTTCCCCCTGCCTTTCCCCTGAATTCCCCTCCTTTTATTTATTTTTCTGATTCCCCTTATTTTATGGCTTCTCGGGCTTTAAGAAGTGTTCCGTTTGTCTACAAAAAAATCCTGTTAACACATGATCTGTGCTTATTTTGCCTGGGGGAATCCCATCAGACCCAGTCGTGTGCTGCATGCAGAAACTTTTCCAAACTAGCGATTAAGGTGAGACTCCAGCGCTTACAGTCCTTTCTTTACCAAAAGACTCTGAACCCTGCCATGGAGGTGCAAACCCTGCCCTCTCCTAACCCTCCAGGACCTGAGGTTATTAAATCTGTCTCCAGTCCAGCTGCACAATCCTTATCCAGCACGGCTTCAGTACTTACCAAGTCCAAGGACTCTCTTAAGCTGGCCAAATTAGTCTCCACTCAGGCTCCACCATGGCTAGTTGATCCTGCAAAAAAGAAAAGAGACAAGATAAAATTAAGAAACAAAAGAAAATTGCCAAACCGGCTATCGCATCCCTTCCTTCGGCTCCATTACCATTGGAAGAATCCTCAAGACAAGATCTTGGGCTCTCAGATAGGGAGGAACGCGCCATTCCTCCAGCCGAAACACCTCATGTTATTCCTAACTTCTCTCCAAGTTCAGGCCATTGTAAGGCTGACGCACCTTCTAGCCCGGCCTTGGCCCATTCTAGCCCTTGATCCTCACGGCGGGCAGATATTGATATCGAATCTGAACAGAAGTCCACTATATGCCTTCCTAAAAAGAGAACCAAGAAGCACAAACATACTTCTCCATACCAACCTTATAGCCATGAGGAGCAATACTAACCTCCAGAGGGTCCACCACAGTACGGCTATCCTTACTTTGATCAATACCTCCCATATCCGTACCATGGCTATGGCTATCACAATGAATATAGGGGTCTTAATTATCCGCCACCACCTTGGTACCTTTCTGTGGCACCACTGCCAGATGTCCCTTCTGAATGCCGAGGGAATGTTTCTGCTCGCTGAGTCGAACCACTTCAAAAAAGAAAGATGGTACCAGAGGTCTCTATACCAGCTAAACAACCTTAACACCACAGAGGCCATTCCTCAGTAGAAGCAACCACGCTTTACTCCAGCCAGGATACCGAGCCTTTCTCTGCATCTACGGATGCAGTCGGATGCTGACCCTCCTTCGAGGATACATTCAAGGGGTTTTCATCACTCGCCATTGAGGGCTTCTATCTCTTCTAATAAGGATGACCCATCATTGTCAGGTGTATCCGAGGCTCAACACCCCTCCGCTGATACCACAGACAGTCATCCCCTATCACCTGCGGATGACTATACATCTTACACCCAACTCATACTGCGCATGGCAAAGACCCTGCAACTTGATGCTCAAATATCGTCACAGGAGGAGAAAGACTTAGTATTGCATAATATGGACCAGGATAAGACGCTCCCACATAGTTTGAACCTTATCCCAGCACTTCTTAAGCTTGTTAAAGACTCATGGGATAAGCCACCCTCGACTCTTCAAATTCCACAAAGGGTTGAACATCTTTATAAGACGCGTGGATTGGAATCGGACTTCTTAGCCAAACACCCGATTCCTAATTC